TTTCCAGACCAAAGATTGTCCTGTGTCCCATTTCTTTGCCACCGGATTAGCTCTTTGACAATATTTTGCTCTCAAGAATTGACCCCATAAGGAATTGTTGGCTCTGAAATTCCACCACTGTTTGTATTGCATTGAGGTACATACATCTTCAAGGTTTCGTACTCCAATGCCGCCTTCATCATAAGGAAAGCTGAGATTTTCCCATGAGGCCAAGTGGTATTTCTTTCTGTCTTTTTCCAGCCCCCAAAAGAAGTCAGCTGTCACCCTCTTATTGTAGTTAAGAGTGGTTTTAGGGGGAGAAATAGTTGCCATGGTGTGTATAGGTATAGATTGAAGGACATGCTTGACTAAAGTGACTTTGCCCCCAAAGCTAAGGATTTTAGAATGCCATCCACTTATTTTCTTCACCACTTTTGCCACTAACTCAGAGTAGTAGATAATCCTCTGACCCCCTATATACAAAGGGCATCCCAAATAAGAGATGGGACTAGTTTTCTGAGAAAAACCAGTGATTTCTTGAATTATGGAGATAATATCAGGTGGGGTGTTAGCAGGGATCATGAAATGACTTTTGGATTTGTTAATAAGCTGATCAGAAACAGCTTCATAAGTTCCCAAAGTCTTCATAATCAATTACAAGGATGCCCTAGTCCCGGAAGTAAAGATAATTACATCATCTGCAAAACATAAGTGATTGATCTGAGGACCTCTAATTTCCATCTGGAAGCCTTTATAATTAGGATCATGGTGTAACAGATTGAGCATTCTTGACAGCACTTCAGCTCCTAAAATAAATAGGGCTGGAGAAAGGGGGTCACCTTGTTTGAGGCCTCTTGTGGAGTGAAAGAATCCATGTCTAGTACCATTGACAATGACTGAGTACCAGTTGTTGCTCATAGTTCTCCAAACCAAGTCAATAAAGACCTCACCAAAGCCCATAGCCCTCAACACTAAACAAGTGAAGGACCAGGACACTCTATCATAGGCCTTGGCCATGTCGAGCTTGATTACCACATTATCACCTTCCTTAGGTTTTTTAATGTTATGAATAATCTCTTGAGCCAGCATAATGTTTTCAGTGATGCTCCTTCCTCTAACAAAACCTGATTGATTCTCCGAGATGAGATGAGGCAAAATGGGAGCCAATCTGAGACACAGAAATTTGGAAATAATTTTACTGGTGAAATTGCTGAGACTAATAGGTCTGAATTCATTGAACCTATTAGGATGCTCCACCTTAGGAAGTAAAACTAAGCAAGAGTGAGACATGAACTTAGGAATTATGTGACCACTGAAATAGGCAAGTACTGCTTCCAGTAGCTCATCTTGGATAATGTCCCAACATGATTGGTAAAACTTCCCTCCAAAACCATCCGGACCAGGAGCAGAATTAGGATTCATAGAATAGACAACTTGTTTCAATTCTTCTCTGGTAGGGAGAGCCTGTAAGTTCTGGTTCTGTTCCTCTGTAACCATTCCTAGAATGCACTGAAGAATATTCTCTGCAATTCTATTCTCATGTCCTATAAAGGTCTCCTGGAAATAAACACAGGCAGCTTTGGTAGTATTTTCATCACCCTGAATCCATTCATTGTCATCAATATTGATTTTATTGATGAAAAGCCTTCTTCTTCTTCCTCTCATGATAGAATGAAAGTACTTTGAATTGGCATCCCCATCCTTAAACCATTGGAGCTGAGTCTTATGTTTAAGTATGGAGGATTCCAATTTAAGGTATTTTATATAATTAGCATTACAGTGATGAAGCTTAGCTCTATTGGCTTATGTATTGTTCAACATCACCTCTTCTTCAGCCTGTCTCACCTGTTCTTTAAACTCTTTAACAACTGCAAATATATCCCCGAACTCTCGTCTTGACCATTCACTAAGGGTAGAAGCAAGTCTCTTCATTTTTTGGTGAAGTTTCCACATTGGGTTGCCCTGTACTTCTCTTTCCCAACATTCCTTAACAGGTGCATGAAGTTTTCATTTTCAACCCAACAATGCAAAAATTTAAAATATTTAGTTTGCTGGCCTTCTCTACCAGCAATTTCCATCAGCAAAGGGCTGTGATCTGACCCCACTGTAGGTAAATGAGTTATAGTGGTCTGAGGCATGTGTTTGACCCATTTATCATTAGTCATAGCCCTATCCAATCTCTTCCAAACCCTTGCTTCGGTAGCTCTTTGGTTGCACCAGGTAAAATGATGCCCACTGTACCCCAAATCCATTAAACCACAGGCTTCTATAGCACTAAAGGAAATCAAAGCTTTTGTTCATGTTGTAGGGAACCCATCCTTGCTTTTCTTCAGTAGAAGTGATCACATTGAAGTCTCCAATAGTACACCAAGGAATGTCTTTATCTGAAAGTTGCATGAGTTTATCCCAAAGGGGCCTTCTGAGATGGTCCTTACATTTTGCATAAATGAAAGAGATCATATATTTCTCTTTGCATTCTGCATGATTCAGCTCACAAGTAATATGTTGGTCCTCCTTTTCTAGAATTTGACATTGAATATCAACATTCCAGAAAATCCAAATTTTCCCATTTTGGTTAGAACAGGCCTGATCCATAGCAAGCTGGATTCTGTAGCTGTTTATATAAGTTTGATCTGCAAAAGGTTCCAAGATTGCAATCATGGATATATTGTGCAATTTCTTGAGAGTTTGAACTCTTTCCAATGAGCCCTGAGTGTTAATACTCCGGGCATTCCAACAAAGAGTTGTAATCATTAAAAACCTCTACTCATGGACCTGGTATTGGGTCTGCTAGAGTTAGTAGATGTGTTGTTGTTGGCCTGTTTGGAGTTTAATCTGCCCCTAGGAGATAGACCCTATTGATCAGTGACCTCTTGGAGTTCTTCTTGTTGTAGAGTGGATCCAAATGCTTTGATTAGGTGAATGCTAGTCTCATCTTCCTCATTACTATTTTCCCCCAAGGATTGAGTGTCCTGGTCATACTCATCCTTAGATGGAACAACATTGTACTCATCATTGTCTGCACTTTTATGAGTTTGCCCTTGAGGATGTGATTTGTGAGTAGTGCCTTCCTTTATACCCTGCCTAGCAGCTTCTGCTTCCTATCTTCTTTTAATTGCATTCCTTTTCTTCTTACTAATTTTGCCTTGAGACTTGTTGTTAGGAGTTTTCCTTTGAGCCTCATTTTGGTCTTGCAAATTCCCTGTTGTACCTTTGCTTGGCGGATCAGTAGTATTCTGTATCTGATTTGTGCCCCTGTTCTGAACTTCAGTACCCTGATCTGTAGGATATACTGGCTCATTCCGTACTTGACCAGTGTCAGCTATCTGCCCTTTGTGAATTTTGTTAACATTTTCCTGAACATTCTGGGAATTTTGAACTGATATAGGGGTAGCAGAGGCTCTAAGGTCAATCATATGGTCTGTGTGGACAACCTCATGCAGAACATGAGTCAAACTCCCCCCTTTGGTGACCCTTTTCCTGCAAGTTAGTAGGTTCTCTTGACACCCTCCATCCATCCCTCCACAAACTTCATCAGAATTTTCAGCATCAACATAGATAATATTGGGGGAATGGGGTAATGGGAGAGATAAGTCAATACCTAAAGTCTTGTTATAACAATTATCTGTGACATGATCTTTTATCACAATTGTTGTATTATGATTGGATTCCTTAGGTGAATCATCTCTTGAACCTTAAATTGTTTGCACTTCTTGAGCTGATTTTCCTTTATTGGTGTTGTCCCCAGCAATACCTTTGTTTGGTTGTTCCTGCATTACTAAGTTAGTATAATTATTATGAGTAGGGATATTAGATAGTATACCTGCTGTAGAAGGTGCCTGCTGCATGCTGCTCTTGGTTGTCTTAGCTTGTGTTGATACAGGTCTCCATGTTGTTTTGGGAGGTGTTTCCTCTTGGTTTTTTTTTTGTTTCCTTTTCTGAACTTGCCATTGCTCTTCCTGACCTACTGCCTACTCATGATAGTTCTGCAGTCCCTTCTTGGTTTCCTGTTGTTGGTTTGTGTGCTGCTGCTGTACCTGATTTTGCCTTTGGACCTCACCATCTCTGTAATCTTTTTCTTGAACTATGCGTTGATGGTCTTGTTGCCTGGTACCTGTTTCTGTTATACCATTGTTTTGTACACTCTTTGTTTTGTTTTGTTTTTCAGTTTCCATTTCTTTCCTCCTTTTGAATTCCTCATCTCTCCTTTTAATGGTGCACACATTGGCCATGTGTCCTTGATGTTTAGAATACATACAATAATTCGGAATGCCTTCATATTGGATTTTTTGCCATCTCCCTTTGT